CGCACGCGTCGTTCGTTCCCCACACGCGCGCGGAGCCATGCAGCGCAACACTTCCTCCCCCTCCCCCTCATAGACTCACACAATCACACTCACGCAGAGAATCACGCGCGGAGAGAGATAAGTGTGCTCCACACTTGTTCGACAAGTTTGACGGACATCATCATGATCATCATCATCAGCATCATCAGCATCATCATCATCATCATCATCATCATCATCATCATCATCATCATCATCATCATCATCAATGTTTAGAGAGCAGAGTAGGAGGGAGAGTCTTGTTTGAATTTCAGACAAAATAACATAACAATATAAAATGTTTAACATTTGTTTAAATGATACAGCTCAACGTTTCGCCCCGTGGGCTTCCCAAGGAGAGCCTGAGAGAAAAACTAAATGAGCGCTGTATAATAGCATGGAAATGGGCCTAGCAAAGAGGGTCTTAAGATTACGTGTGGTTACAGGCTAGATGGAAGTGACTAAGAGGGAGCCAGGCCAAAGGGTAAATTATAAAGAAATTAATGCTAGTCTAGCAAAAGTATCAATTTTATTTCTACGAGAGGCTGACAAGAATTTGTGTGCACGTGGGATGAAAGAGGGAAACGTTTGGGCGCACTTTATAGAGGCATCCAAGAAATCATGATCATCTTCATCATCATCATAAAGTGCCAGATCTGAAACTGTCGTCTGCGATCATTGTTTCTTCATCTTTTCTACGCTCAGATGCTCTCATATATTATTCATATTATTAGTTTGGGGTTTCCCAGTCACCCATAGGTTCAGATTTTCCAAAAACGTCTCTCCGTCTTGTAGAAAATTGTAATGTAGTATGTTTTACACCCCGATCTACATTAGTTTGACTATTCGGTGCTTTTTCGGTAGTTCCCACCCCCCTTATATTTTGAGCCTGACCTACATAGAGATCTATACGTTTGATGCGAGCAAAGATATCAAACTTAACAACTGCAAAACATCAAATTATGGCAAAATCTTTATTGGGACGCCCCCCTGAAACCCCCCTCTCTTGAGGCCCAAACCGGCGAATAACAATTGCGGGGTGGGAACTACCGAAAAAGCGCCGACTATTCAGCAGGCAGGCCGCTTTGTTGACCATGCCTGTCAGTCCCAACCTGAACGAAGAGGGTTAGAAAGATACATGTATGTTGTTTTTCTTTTTCTCCTACCAATCATGAAACCGAAAGAAAACCAAGTGGCATAAATACAGAACATATTATTAATTGTGAGGCAGCGTGGTGGAATCAGGCTCTCGTCAATTTTTGGGCATGTAGAGTTATTGGTCTCATCTTCAAGCTTGTTCACTTGTCTTTATTTGGATGAAAAAAATATCCATTTATCTTGAATACAAGCCGAGATATTTGCGAATGAAGGAGGTCGGGTCATCTGTTTTCAGAGATAAAATTAGTGAGAAAATGGCCGCCAAAGATTAGTTATTTCCTTAACTTTTGAGTCCGCGGTAACTGAAAATTTACATTTTTCGTGCCTTTAATCAACGTTTTTCAGAAAAATCCACACAGAAATGAATTCTTTAACAGGCATGAGAGGTGTTGGGCCAAAAACAAAAAGTTTATAAAAATTCACAAAACTGCGGGAAATGCAAGTTTTTTCACTTTGATTATTTTGACGAGAGCCTGATTCCACCACGCTGCTTCACAATTTGACAAGAGTGTAACAGCACCTTCAACATAAAGGGTCATGATATCATAAGTGCCACATTCGATGTGTTACTGGAGAGAGTTTTGTTTTTTGTTTTTTCCCCGTGTCCTGATTTTGGTGCCCGTTTTTGTTGTTTACGTAAAAAGAAAGTAATAGTGCAGATTGTTCTATGAAAGGGGAATTGTTGAGTCGGTGATGATGATGGTGATGATGATGATGATGATGATGATGATGATGATGATGTTGTTGGCGATGGTGACGGTAATGGTAATTGTGATGGTGAGCATGAGGATGATTATTTATGTTGGCGTTACTGGAGAGTTGCAAACCAAGTAAAGAAGGCTGAAAGATAAGGACGAAGCGTGATGGAGAGTAGAGATGGAGAAAAACCAAAAACAGACCTCCCACCAACCACCCACTGAATCTCAGCCAGAAGTCGGGAATTTGTCAGTACAGCAAACATTCTTTTTAGTTTTAGTAAGAGTTTTACGACATTTGCAACACATTAAGGTCATATAAGTGCCAAAGAATAGATGCGTTGCAAGAGAGTAACATACACAAAAAAGAAGGAGGAGAGATTAGGACAATAGATGTTTAATAGGAAAGAAGGAGCAAATCAAAACCGAGCACCCACCAACCACCAATATAATCTCTGCAAGAAGCCGGGAATCTGTACAGTACACATTCTTTTTAGTTTTAGTAAGAGTTTAACGGCACTTTCAAAACAATAAGGTCATATAAGTGCCGAAGAATAGACTAACCACCCACATAATCTCCGCAAGAAGTTGGGAATCTGCCAGTACAGCAAACCTTATACAACATCGACCAAGTGTCCACCTTCCCATACCCGGCGTCGGTCGTTCCTTGTTGTCGTCAACCACTGTTGCTAGCTGGTCCTGTCATCGATAGGAGTGGGAGGGGGAGAGAGCAGAAGAGGAGAGGGGAGGAGAGGGGGAGCGGGTGAGGCGGCGAGAAAAATGAAAATGTGAGGGGAAGCGGATTGGATGCGCCTTGAACGGATTGTTGTGATTTCAATACTTGATTTGAGAAATGGTGTTTTTACGAATACGATTACTTTCACGGCAATTTTTAATCAGGAGACAGATAAGTTGAGCGTATAGAATGATATCGATATCTTGTTGGAAAATTACAAGACAATTATAAGCAATTCACGAAGTGTAAAATTTAATGAATCTCGTAGCCCTAGTAAATAAGTGGTTGGGTTTCTATTTCGTCTCACTCCTCGTTGTAATATCACTTTACCTGTCTGTCTGTCTGTTTGTCTGTCTGTCTGTCTGTCTATCTGTCTGTCTGTCTGTTTGTCTGTCTGTCTGTCTGTCTGTTTGTCTGTCTGTCTGTCTATCTGTCTCTGTGTGGGTTTTTGTGTAGCTTTGTGTGTGTGCGAGTGTGTGTGTGTGTGTGTGTGTGTGTGTTTATGTGTGTGTTTGTGTATCTGTCTCTTTCTTAATCTTTATCTCTCTCT